AAAAAAAATTAAGGATGGAAGGCAAGAGAAGAAGAGATGAAAAGGAAGCATTCTTATCAGGAAGAACAAACTTCTTTGCCACTATCCACTGCACATGAACACAAACCTCTTGCACCAAAAGAAGTAGCAACAACATATTATATGTAATATATATATATATATATATTTTTTACCAGTGTGCCTTCTGTTTAAAAATAGAGATCAAAAACAAATGCTAATCTTGGCATTCTCTTAAAAATAAGTGATTCTTGAGTGGTAGAACTGAGGAAACAATGTCCTAAAAGAAACCCTGTTTTTTCATGGTGCTGGCTATTACAATGTAGAAGGGGAATGGTTGTACATAATCCATTTAAAGTTTAGACTATGACCACCATTTGCCCTATTTTACTTTAATTGCATAGACAACATGCAATTCTTACATGTTTCAATCCTTTATTCTTCTAAGGGAAATTCAGTGTGTGTGTACATAAGCATGTGTATGGGAGATTTTTCACTGTACATTTGTACTGCCACTTTGGCCACAATTTTTAAGCACTAACCGTGTTACTGGCCTAAGCTAGGCCAGGAAAGCATTGCCCCAATTCTGTTCTTTTTGATGACAGCAAATAATTAAGTTAAGAAGGGATAGGACGACAGGGAAAGATGATCTTTAAGTACTACATTAAAGTTATATGACATTAAGTCTTTTAGTACTGATGGTAATGCATATGTCAAAGCAAATATAGGTATGATATCTCACAGTTAAGGAATAAGTCTTCAATAGACTCCAAAAAATACTAGCTTTCCTATGTAAGAAAAACAATTAGTATGCATAACTTAAAGTCACCATATCAAACACATGGCTCTTTTGTAAAGCATCATAGCAATCTGAAAAAGAAGAGTTCATATATTCAAATAAACACAAAATAAACCAATTAATTCTGAATAAGTAGTAACAACTTTATTTTAACTCAACGTGCTGAAATGCAAAAAATATTTTCAGCAACAAGATACAAAAAGTATGTATCTTATCATTAACATCAGCTGATTAAAAATGAGGCTGAAAAGTTCAATATAAGTCTTTACACATTTGAATCTTGAAAATCAATTTCCCCCAGAATTAATTTTTAAATTTTAGCAGAATTTTATTTTCAAAAATGGGACTCAAGTTATATCTTCATTCTAAAAAACTGGATGGGAAATTAACTGGGTTACAGTATACAACAATAAACTCTAAACAGAAAAATATTTAAATATAAGAATTCCTTTTCAAACATAAAGTCCACATACTGCAAACAGAAGACACGGTGTGGTGATTTCATTCCTAGTGAAGAGGAAGTCTTGCATATGGTAGGCACTAAATATTTGTTCAACTGGACCTAAAACTGACATTATTCCATGAACACTTAAATAAAGTAGAGCTCAAAATCTGTATAAAAGAGGTTTGCACAATACTCTCTTATGTGCTGAAAGTGCTGTCTTTATAATCTGAAGACACCCACCCACCCACCTTATTTTGCAAGAATACACTGAATTTTATCCATCAAAGGGCATGAAGGTCCAAGTTAGAATAATTCACCGTTTCAAATATACATGGTTATGAAGAAAGCTTGTTGATGTGAATTTTAACAAAACAACTTCCTGAAGTTTCTAGTGTTCTAATTTAGTAACAATGGGTAGCATATATGACCCACATTTTAATAAATAATTTTACTTGGGTTTTAAATTCATGCACAAAATTTAAATGGGTAAATAAGTAATTACACTTTTGGCAATTTAAATTCTAACTTAGGTCTGATTTATAAATAACCTAATAATGCTCATGATTACTTTTTAAGAGATCTTTGTGAATATTTTAAAACTGAACTTTAAAACTGATGTCCTAAAAAGGCACTGTTTTCATATTTCATCATGCAATAAATGGTCACATTTTTGAAAACTATACTTTCTTGTCAATCAATTGTTCCCCAAAATAAAGCACATTTAATGAAATATTTCAACTAACCTGAATTTTCAACATTTAACCGAATCCTATTTTCAGAAATTCACTCTTCTCAACATATCACACATAAGTCTAAGCAAATACATGTGCACACACATACACAATGACACGCACACACCCATCCTAATGACATAATACATGCATGGTTCTCGAATTACTATTTCAAGACAATGACACATGAGAATTCAAGGAGGTAACAATGGCAAGCCATAGCATTATGGCACCTTCATATTTGTGCTCTAAATACCAGTATACGTTAAAATTTAAAAACAAAAAAGGCACAAATATAGTGTTTCTGTATCTCAAGCTGAAGAACAGTTCTCCAATGGTTACTTTGATAACATAACACTGAAAACCAATCACTTCTTTTCTAAGGAAAAGCTCTGTTTAGGTGACAAAAAGAAAACAAGAGCAGGCTGATAAAAGGCAAAGCTGCTCAGGACAGAGTCTGTGCCTACTGAACACAATGTGTGGAGTTTAAAAACGAAAAAATGAAAAGGCTATTAGAGCACTCTTGTCAGAATACATTTTAAGTTTTTTTCATTGCCTCAAGAACCCACAATATCAAAAACAACAACAAAACAACCCATAATAAATAAAAAAAATAAATCAACTATGATACGATTCTGTTAGTATAACGGTAGACATTACACTATTTGAAGTGGACATTTCTACAGATGTGGATATTCTCACAGCACAGTGTTTGACGTTTTTGGTACAAAATGTGCTACCAAACTAAAAACAAAAAACGAACCCTTTATAATAAAACCCTTAGGATTTACAATAAACACTAAATTAAATAGGTAAAAGCAAGCCGAAATGTTCATTATATGGGTGTTATTACTGAAGTCACTATGGTTAGAAATGTAGATGCAAGCAGTGAATTAATTCACAATGTGCCTATGAGCATTTGATATAAATGGATACACCAATATATATTTTTTTGATATACGACAACAAAATTCTATAGCCTGAGGAATTTTGTTTTAAGACCCTGGCAAAATATTAAAAACCTTAACGTGTATATGTATGTGTGTATGTATTTCTTAAATTATATACTGTAAATTTAATAGACTCAATTTTGTTAAGAAAGTGAGTTTCTGTTCCCTCTAGTATTCTTAAATAGAATGAAGTTCAATACCATGTAAGAATCCTTCTATCAAGGGATTCTCCCAATTTCAAATTTAACAAGATTCCAATTAAACTATATAGAAAGAAATGAAGATATCTGAAAATATGATCTTTTCAAGCTCGTTTGTTGTGGTTAACAAATGCTTATCTGATAAGTGTTTGTTCAATGTAAATATGAATCACTCTTGATATATTATGACTGCTTCAGTGAGTATCTAACAGATAACAAAAATAAAATCTAATTTAAAACCTCAGGCTTCATTTTTTTCTTTTTGTTCTCAATTCAAAAACTAAATAAACAAATTATACAAATTTTAATCTGGAGAATAAAGTATATATGGGAATATATAGGCATAGGCATGTTTTTCCAGTGACAAACTTTTCCCCTTGTGGTCAAGTATAAATCTTGCCTAAGTAGCATATTGTCACTATTCCATGAAATCAGATGCAGTGACTTGCTACTTCTCTGGGACAATATGCACCAGGACAGAACCTCACTGTGAGCAGAGCTACCAAACACTGAACATATGTGTTTAAAGCTAAATTCATTTATAATAAAGAACTGGCCCATGAAAAGCAGTTTATAAATAGTTTATCCTGTTCACATTATGCAGAATTTCAGTATCATCCACAATGTTAGTACAGTAACTGAAACAGAAAGAAGGCTGGGGAGCAGGTGGGGGAAGATTCAGAGTGTGGCCTGACATATTTCTAAGGGTTCTCTCCTTTAGTCTGCAAATATTAGCTCACTGTTTTTAGGAGAATAGAGTGTCCAGGATTTTTTCAATTGCTTTCTCCAAAGTGGGATAAGACAGGAGTAAATTCAGTAATAAATATCTGAAATTCAAACCAATTTAACTATAATCAAGGATACCTTTCTCTATTATCACAAACATCCCAGTTGCCTCCCTCAGTCTTAAAAAATTCTTTCAAAAGTTAAGACACAATTAATTATACCTTATTAATACCCTCAAAAACAAACAAAATATATGTACCATTTAGCATACAAAAGTTACACATTAAAAGTGCATATATATCTTTCTTAATTGGCCCACTCATTAAATTTACATTTGGTCATCCTTACTTTCAACATGGACAGAATTCTTCATATAAATGTAGGTCACTATAAATTAAAAAAAATTCAGCACAAAACATGCTTTCTTTTTATTGAAATCTTAACCTCAATCATTTCTCAGTCATTGTAAACTTGAACAAACCCACAAAGAAACACAAGCAAAGGTTTGTTATGCTTCTTAGTTTGTTGGACAGTCAACACAGAAAAATATCCAAAATTTACCAAAAATTTGGGCCAACTCATTGCATATTTGCCCCCTGAAATGAAAAATAAATTATAATTGAAGCAGTGTATTGCCGTAACTTACTTTGAAGGTAAGCAGGTTTTCCTATATTTATAGGACTTAGACTGGAGACATTATCAGTAATCTCCAATGAGTGCTTTTAAGAAGAACCTAGTTTTAAACTTTGAGATAGCATAGGACAAACCCTATAAAATTAATTTTGCTTTTCTCAAACTAATGGAAGATCCTTTTGAAACTTAATATCTTCAGTTATCAATATTACTGCATTATGGAGCTAGTGCAATCCTGCATAGCCTTAGTCAAAATGACAAGGCACAATAAAAAAATTAAAGTATTATATGAACAAGAGAAGTCATTGAATATAATTTAAGGCCTTGAAGTGAATTAGAGTATAATCAGTCTAATTTAAAGCTGAAGAATAAACCATAAATTATCCACCTGAAATGCAAGCAATATGCTTTTTCAGCTTCTGTTCGTGGACAAGACAACAGAAACAACTCTTGCTTATGGTTTGTTATTAGAATCCTTCTGGACCTGGAGGAGTAAAAGTCAATTCCATTTTTCTACAGTTCATGGAAGATTTCAGGACTGTTTTAGCCGTTTGCGTGGAATGCCAAACTGTGGACACTGTGCAGATGCTAGTGCTCGGAAGGCTTCTGCTACTAAGTGAGGGTGAGACTGAATCATGGACTTCCACCCTGATGTTTCCATTATGTCCGCTGCTTGGCTGAAAAATAAAATTAAGTGATGTTTATTAAAAAGTACTTTTCAAAATACACTGTTGTATTATTTTTAGAAAAAATTACGTATTTCAAACTGTTTTAAACACTTTTTGCCTCTATATAGTCAAGCCATGTAAATTCATTAAAATACCATCTTTATGTTACTGGTATATTCTGTTGCAACTTAAACTATTAAATTCTTCTGGAAGTTCTTTACTCTGGAAGTATGTGATACTTTTCTCCACAGTCTCAACTCCCATTATTACCATTTCTGTACCAGCTTTTTAAGAGCTCTTTTCCCTGCCTGTTACAAAACAGGCTTTCTCTAGAGTACCAACTTTTGCCCTCAATCTTCTTCCTTAACTTCACCATTCATCCTTATTGTATCTACTCTTTACAATTTTAACTATCATTCAATGATGATAAACTACTAATTTGCTAAATTGTAGCCCTCTCTAAAAGGCACACTCCCAAACATTTGTTCTCTTTATTTGGAATGGCCTCAGGCCCTAAAAATTCAGGATCACCAGGAAAGAACTCAGTATGTCTCTATCCAAACTCCAAATTTTTCTTCCCTCATTTCCAATCAGCTAATGCTTCCACCATCACCCAATTGTTCACATTAAAACCTGGGAGTCATCCTAGACCCCATCCTTTCCAATCATCAAAGCCCTATTTTAATTTTCAAAGATATTTTGAATTCCCAGTCAAGGTTCATACCATCTCACATTTGGATTATTACAACAGTCTCCTAAGTTGTCTTCTAGTTTCAGGTCTTGCTCCTCAAACTGGCTTCTAGGACTTGCCTTAGTAACACAAATATGACTATGTTACATCCTCTCTATTGTTTCCCATTACCTGTATTCAAGTTCTTTAGAAAAAGAAACAATTTTTCCTACTTCCTCTCTCTACCCCTTTGTACCTCTTGCTTACATGCTCAGGCATTTTGTATATGGATAGTGACTTGCTCATCGTATACAGAATGAATGTACAACATGCTCTACTAAGCATGCAGAGTAAATACCTAGTTATCCTTGTCTCTTTTCTCCCTTTTTATCCATCCACCATTCAAATCATATCCAAATATGATAGATTGTCCTTTCAAAATATTTTATCCTTCCATTTCTCTCTAGCCCCAACTGTCACAAATCAAGTCTAATTTCAACTCTCATCTCTTGCTCATCTCTTGCCTGAACTACTCCAATAACTTTCCAACATGTCTACCTGTATTTAATCTCGCTCAACTATCACCTCCTCAAGCTCCCTACAATATATCCTCTACCTTGTATGGCAGAAAGTGCTAAAAATGAAACTCTGATCATGCCCTATGCTAGGTTGAAACCTTTTACTGGATGCCCAGTTCTCTTTGTCTAAAAGTCCCAATGTATTTACATGGCCTTCCAGAACCTGATCTCTGTCTGCTTTCTCCAGCTTCTGACTCTATTATTCTTTCTTTATCATCAAAATTTTGCATACCTGATTCCCTTTTTCTGGAATAAACTGTCACACTTCTTCTCTCTTCTTTACCAGGGTAACTCCTACTAATACTCCAGGTGTTTATTTATACAATAATTCCTCAAAAAGGCTTTCTTTCACCTCTAGTTTAGGTAAGGTTCTTTTGCTATATGCTTGAGATACATATTAACTACTGTTATGCTTTATTTCAATTACTTATTTAATTCCTATTTGCCTCTTGCTAAACTAAACACTCCATGAAGGCAAGGGAAACCTTTGTCATGTTCACCACTATATTTTTATACTAAGCACAATGCCTGGGGTATTTACGGGATAATAAACATATGTCATATGAATGATCACCTACTGCTTCATGCTTCTATACTTTGGATCAAGTGATCTCTTCTGTTTACAATACCTGTTATTTCCTTCTTAGTTTTGCTAATTCCTATTTGTGTTTAAAGACTCAGATGTCATCTACAGGAAGCCATTCCCAAACCATCCAGCCTTTGTCAAGGGCCCTGTACATGTCTTCCTTTATCGTGTTACTTACCACATTATAATGAAATAATATATTCATATATTTGTTTCTTTCATTAACTAACTGTTCAGAATCACATGAATACCTCTTATTTATATACCTGACATTTTCATTTATTTAATTCAAAAAGATCTATTAAAGTCTGTACATACAACAGCTACTCCAGGGGATATGAAATAAGCTAGTATTTTTTGACAGTGAAAAAGCTGTACAATGTAAAATATTTTCTTCACAGAATAAAACTAGAGCTAGAAAGTGACTAAGTACAAAGAACAAAATTGTCATTGAATGCTAATATATTTTAAATTTAAATAGATTTTTCTAGGATCATAGACCATGACAATAACTTTTCATCAAACACTAACCAATATACAGAACTACCCATGACTTATAAGTAGTTACTAATTTTTACTTTGTGAAAAAGGAATTCACAAACTGATAGGAATTCAGAGTTAACCAACATAATGCAGATGAAAATAATGAGAAGTAATTAGGTCACATTCATTTTATTGTCTCAAACACTGTCTTTTTTCACTTAAATCAACTTTTGATAAGTTTGGAAATGGAATTTAAGTGGTTTTGGCAAAAACTAATCAAAAGCAGGTGCAAATTCTTCAAACTATCAACTCTTTACCTTTTTGATTTTGAAAAATTACAAAAGTAGACAATCACTCTAAAAATGAGAAGAAAACAAAGAAGGAAATAATAAGTTCTAATAATTCATATTCAGAAGGTCAGTCTTAGAAAGGTGTAACAACTACTACACCCGTTAGAGTTTTACCAGAGAAAGGAAAGAACAAATTGCTACCAGTAGAGAATAGTAGGCAGCTAATCTAAAATACTATATGATGCAAGGTACTTGGCTAACCTAAGAAGCAGTGTGGGTGAGCAGTCGAATGTAAAAACTTTCTAGGCAAATCTGGAGGGTACACTCCTCCTAGGATAAAATGAGTATCTCCCAGCATTTTTAGAAATGTTTTCTGAAGCAGCAGGGAAAAGATCTAGTAGCCACTGAAATACATGGGCTTAACTATATACTGTGAGCATATGCACTTAAGAAATTTAAATGTCTATCCCAGTTCACATTAGAAGCTGATCTACAAGGGAGCATAGCCTCAAGAATCCACTAAATCATATTATTATATTTTAAAATAACTGGCAGTTTGCATAATGTAACTAATATCTGGATTCATACTTATTGTAGATGAGCAAAAGGCTATGCAAACATTTAATTTCATGTATGCAGATCAACTTTAAGTCAGAAACTGATGTCATCTTACTTGCTGTTCCAGTTTTTCCCATCTTTACACCCAAGTTGTCGAAGTACACTGCACCTGCATTGAAGATTTAAACACACTTAAAAAAAAGTCCGGTGAAAAAATGTTGAAGGTGTCATGCCCACTGAAATACAGGCATAGCTTACCTATTAATAAAGTCTATGGCTTGTGCTTTCAACTGTTCTGCACTGTGCAAATCTGCAAGGACAAGGGTATCAGCAACATTTTCTACCGAGAGGTTACTACACAAAGCTTCTTCACACATGACCTTCAGTCGTTCCAGTGCATACTATCCAAAAGGAAAACATAGCAATTAAACATTTACTCAAACTATCAAGTTTTAAACATTTTGTATTTGTAACTTAGAAAATACTTGATATCTATAACTTAGAAAATAAAGTTAAAGTACATTATACTTTGAACTGAGGGTAAAAAAAAGTTTTAAAGTTATTTTAACCTAATATTAGGAAGATACAAATCAATGAATTTAAGAAAAAGACTAATTTTCTTCAGGAAATTTCAGTTTGAAAAAATACATAGTGTCAATTTTAAAAATAGGGTTTTATTATTTTTTTAAAAAACTATTATTACTCAAACTCTTAGAGTGAATTTCTCCTATTTTAAACACCAAAGTGTACCAGCCAAGTACACTGTTGCCACTGCTCAATATTGAAGAATTATAAAAGGTCAACAAATCATTGTGATAACTATGTTAGTTATTACAACAACTTTGGCAGCTTTAATGAAGCTTTACAATTGATATACAATAAACTGCACATATTTAAAGTTTATACACCTGTATGACCATCATTAAATCATGACACCGAACATAATCATCACCCCTAGAAATTTCCTCCTACCCCTTTATAATCGTTCCCTTTCACCCCACCTCAGGCTATGTCTGATATGCTTTCTACTGTTGTAGTCTGCATTTCCTGGTATCTTCTATAAATGGAATCAGGTAATTTGTGACTGGCTTCTTCTCAGCATAAGCCAGTCACAAATTACCTGATTCATGTCACTACCATTTTTTTTAGCAGTTCAATGCTTTTTATTGCTGAATAATATTCCATTGTGTATAGACATACAATTTGTTTCTGCAATAATCTGCAACTGATAAACAATCCTGCAATTGATAAATTGGGTGTTTCCAATTTTTTGCTATTACAAATAAAGCTTCTATAAACATTCATATAAGTCACTGTATGGGAATATGCTTTCTTTTCTCTTAGATAAAAAAGTAGACTCACTGAATCATATGGTAAGTGTACAACTGTTTTTCTTTTTTAATATTTGAGGGGGGCAGGGAAGGCCAAAGGATCTAAAGCAGGTTCTGTCCCGTCAGCTCACAGCCTGATGAGGGGCTTGAACTCACAAACCATGAGATTATGACCTGAGCCACAGTTGGAAGCTTAACCAACTGTCAGCCCAGGCACCCCAAGTGTAAAACTTTTTTAAGAAGCTGCCAATCTTCCAAAATGGTTGTACCATTTTATATTTGTATCAGCAGTGTATAAGAGTCTTTATTCCTCTGCATCCTTGACCATACTTAGTGTGGTCTTCGTAATGTTATCTATTACAATACATGTGTAGAAATATCTCATGGTTTTAAATTGACATTCCCCTAATAACTAATGGTGATGAGCATCTTTTGATGT